AATCATTTTTTCAATCAAAGTTTAGTGTTCGTTTGGTCTTCGTTTGCATCAAAGTTGTTCATGAAAGTGAAATTTTTTTTGCAATTGGTTATGAAATTTATTTTCATTGCAAAAATAAAATAAAATAAATAAAAGACCAAAATAAAATTTAAAAAAAAAAAAAAAGTGAGTTGGAATTCATTTTCCCACCAAAATGGTGGGAACACAAATTCTTGGAAATCAAAGCATTTAGGCGCGTGGGAGCTGCACCTGGAATTAGAATTGCCTGGAAATGGGTGGCCATCAAACATGCCAAAATGGAGAAAATGGAATTGAAATTCCACTTTCCAAGGAAAAAGAGTGCTATCAAACAGGGCATTAGTTAAAAGTTAATTAGAAATAATTGATCTTAAAAACTCCCATCTTAATTGTGTGTTTTGTTAGAGTTAATTGCAATTAAAGTAGAATCAATTATAAAATTTCGTGGGGACGATATTATTCTCACCATTATTACTTATTAAAAATCTATCTTGTTGCAAGATAAAATCAACAACAACGTACAAAGCACTCAAAATTTCATGACCAACCCTCGAGAAAAGAAAATCACTTCATGCTTAAATTCCGCCACCCTATATATCTTTGTCAAACAATTGATTTTGTATATGTATGTATTGTAAGTTAGCCATTGATTGCAATACAAAACAAGAAAAGAATCAAGAATTATGAAGAAAATATTTCAAATTATGCAGTGAGTTGCTTTTGAAGCAAGAGGCCTAGACTAATACTTCTTTTTCATCTTCAATGGTAGGTCCAATATCCTTAATTTGCAAAAATTAATAAGTTCCATGAACTTGTCCACCAATTAGAAATACAGAGTGGCAAGCTTACAAGAAACACAAGTTTATGTCTATTCAAAAGCACAATTTAATATGCATGTGAGATTTCTTTTCCAAAGTATTCAATTGTTGTGGGCTAGCTACAAGGGAGCTATTTGTCAAACTTTTGTTACTTGTTTCTTTGATACAAGTAATCTAACTTATTCAAGTTAAATTAAATATGAATTTTTGAGTATTATTTTTTTCTCAAAAATATAGTTAAATTGTGCTATATAGCTGGACTTCATGAGCATGTTTGGGAAGTATTTCTAATTAATGCATAAAAATAAATGGTGAATAAGCTGATGATACTTGTGAATTTATCGATAGATAAAAATGACTTGAATATTTATAAACAGTTTATAAACGTAAACCGAACATAGGCTTACATGTGATTTTAAAAGGAAATTATAAGTCATTCATTTACCCAAATCATCTATGTTTAATCAGGGCCAAACACACCATTTAAAACATTTCACATAGATAATTCATAAATAAACTATACTAATTTTATTTGTGAAAGTGACTAGAGGTGTCCAAAAGTCCCCAACCGAACCGAACCCGAACCGAACCGAACCGAACCGAATCGAGCGATTTTTCATAAATTAAATACCCGAACGGGTACCCGAATCGAGAACCGACGGGTTTGAGTTGGGTCTCGGGTCTAGACCAAGAACCGAATAAGAACCGAAACTAAATAATTTTTTTATTTTTTATATTGAATTAATTAAATTATTTTA